GTGATTCAATTGTTTTTTTTTTTATTATTTTTATTTTCTCGGATTATATGTCATTATTTTTCCATTTTTTTAGGAAAAATGTTGTTTTGAAGAATATATTTTTTTAAGGTCGTAACATTAAAATTTATGAGGGGTTTGATTTTTTAGTTTTATAATTTGGAGTTTTTTATTTTTTTGAATCATGTTTGATGTAATATTATAATATTGTGTTAGAATTATACATTAATAACAAAATTGTGTAGTTTATTTCTTATTTGTGTACATTATAAATTACATAACGTTATAAATGTAACAAATATCTTTTTAATTATATGATATTATAAGACAACTTAAATTTATCCATATTTGTATTGTAAAATATGAATGAATAATTCCAATTTCAGTCGTAAGGTATTATAATTGATTAGCTTGTGATAATCTTTTACGAGTAATGAAAATGAATAAATTTTAAAGAATAGGATCCCAAATTAAGTGAGGAGGACCACCAAATTTATGGTCAACAGACATTGAAACAGGCAAATAGCATATCCATCTTGGTGTGTTTTAGCAAATAATGGAAGTACATAATGCATCATTTCTATTTTATTTAAAAACTCAAAAAACACTATTTTTAGGGGTTTTTTAATGATTTATTTTAAATTTCTTTGAGGCGGATCCAGTCGATTCTCCGATTCAGATCGACAAACCATCAATTCAACCTAATTTTGTAGTGGCCAATCCAAGTCACCATTCCATTTTTTAAACTTTAGCCTAGCCATAATACGTTACCTGGAGGTCCTAATTTTTTAAGGGTTTTTTTATTTATTAGACAAGTTTACAAATATATCTTCTACTTTTAGTGTATAAGAAGGTCACAATTACTCTTGTCAATAAAATTTTAAATTCTTGTGAGTCTATCATATTCAAAGTTAAAAAAAAACCATAACTTAGTGATGTACCCCAAACGCTCCAATTTGACATCAATAGCTCGAGTATTTGTCACCACATTTGTAACAAAAATAAATACCTTATGAGATGCAATTCCTTTTTTATTTCCATTTTATCTCTATAAATAATAAGTTTAATCTTTCATATGCCTAAAAGCACAAACATCAATGGATAGTTAAAAAATCAAGCTTTCAAATTGCCCAAATGCGTCATATTTTTTTTTTTGACAGTTGGAAGCTGGGCTTTCAAATAGCCCAATCACATGTTTCGGGTTGTCTGAATGTGAGACTTTCAAATAGCCCAAACACATTAATTTTTTTTTCGTGCTTTGTGGTTCGAAAATTACAATTACAACTTTGAACTACAATAAATAGAAATACGAAACCAAAAGAGTTGGACCTTAACATAATACCACTCAAATTTTGAACCATACGGTAATAACGCATCGTTTTCCGGTCCACATGTAAATTTCTCTACAACAAAATCACACGTATTGAACATGTGCCTAAAAAAATAACATCGACAGTCGGTGGATGTACAATTGTTCAAAATATTTAGATATTAAATTAGGGGAAAATGAGATTTTTTTCTTACTTTTTATAATAAAAATTTGGATATTAAATTAGGGGAAAATGAGATTTTTTTCACTTTTTAAAATAAAAAAGTGTTACAGTCTCGACACTATAAGAGACAAAAAGTTATAAGATTGACAAATATTGATCAAAATAAATGAATTGTTCAACATTTCAATTTTTTTTTTAATTTTTAAAAAAAAAAACCTTCAACATATCAGAATTGGAGTAGTTGAAATGGGGCAAATAGCTAAGTAGCTTATCTATTAGGAGATACAGTTCCCAAAATTATATTAACACTACAATATATTGATTAGCACTAGACTATAACATTAAGAGTAATAATCTTATAGGACCCTCTCAAAAACAATATTCTTTACTATTTCATGCAAAAAAAATTTGGAAGTTATACTATTGCATCATCCAAAAACATTTTTTTTACTTTTGAATTGCCCAAATATTTTAAGCTTTTTGTATGTGGGTGACTCGAGAGGGAGACATTCAAATTAGGAATTGGGGAAAAAAAAAAAGAAAACAAAAAAAAACTTGAAAGTCTAGGACCTTACATCAATCAATATGGCCAAAACATGTGACCATACATAATTTTTTCTAGTTTATCTATATAAAACATTTTAAAATCAAATTTAGAATGGGCCCACCCCTTATTAAAACACACCCAACAAATACAAATATAAAATGTTTTTTTATAAATTAAAATTTTATAAATGTATTTTTGGTTATTTATTTTATTAAATTATCCTTTTCAATTATAGATAAAAGTATATCCCAATATTCAAGAAATTTTACTTTGGACTTTGTGCCTAAACAATATCCTATCCTCGACCTTGATTGCAAATCTAACAGTCAATGATGACGGTGACTTTTTTTGTACACTTTTTTTATATTTTATTTAGGAGTTGTCTATAAATATATCATTTATCTTTTGTACATGGAGATCACAATCATTCCCATTTATTTGACGTTAAATTTGATGACTCATTCCCACTTATTAGGTATGTTAAGTTAGATGGCATGGGGTGAGTTACTAAGTCCAAATATATATTTTTTAACTTTGCGTCTATTCAATAATACTATTACAACTACCTATTTTGAAATTTAAGGGACAAGAATGATTGTGATCTCCATATACAAAAGATAAATGATATATTTGTAGATAATACATTTTATTTATAATAAATTATAAAAAAATTATACCTTAATTATTTGATTATTGAAAAAAACCTCAAACCTTCTTAAACGTCATCCATACCCATTTTCTGAAATTTTTATGTTTTTTGACCAAAATAACCTTCATGGTAGTATTGAAACCATGAATACATTACAATAAACTCACTACCATGATGATCATAGGCGGTATAATATTTTGAGACATCACGGCCCTTAAACAACCGTAATGGTCCTTAAAAGGCATCACAACACTAAAAAAGGTGTGATGGTTGTTAAGGCATCATGACATTTAGTCGTGATGCTTACGTAACAATAAAGCAATTAAATTAAAATCATGATAGTCCAATAAACCATTACGGTTCTTTAAGTGCTGTGATGCTTCAAAACTGTATTTGATTTACAACCTGCTATGACTCTCACGGTTTTCAATATGCCGTGATGGCTCCATGATTCTAAGACTATCGTGAAGGTTATTTTTGTTTACTTACCCAAAAAAGAGGTATGGACGGTTTTTGGGAGGTTTGGAGTTTATTTCCAATAATCAAATAATCAAGATATTTTTTTTTATAAATTTATTTATTCGATAAAAATCTTTTGTATTTTTTTAATAAAGATAGTGGTAAGTCAGAAAGAAAGCATAAAATTAATACCTCTTTTGTATGTAAACGATTAGTACAAGTCATTGTTACCTTGGATGAGGTTTTTATAGGGCTTAGGCTTTATGAAAATAAAATAAAGCATCACTTCAAATTTTCATCCGAAAAGCATTTTCGCCGACATAAATTTTCATGATGACTCTAAAATAAATTTTCAACGTCAAGAATAAAATTCAAAGCTCAAAAAATAATAAAGATCTTGTAAATCTATTAACACTTGTTTTTAGGGTGAAATATACAATCTAGATCATTTATTATAATATACACTATTTTTAGAGTTTGAAATCCTATATTATTTTTTATAACCATAATGTTCATACTATAATGATTGATGTAAAGGTTTTATAATGCTTAAATTACAACTTCTATAGGTTAGGAGGTGAAGCTTTACTTGTTTTGATAGGCTATAGCCCTACCAAATAATTTTTCATGAAAGAATTAGGCTTGGGTCAAAATGATAGAGGCTAAGGTTTCATGTTAAGCTCGGGTCAAGATGGTACAGGCTGGGTTTTCATAGCACAACGTTTCTTTTTCCATTCCTATGTTGCCTTATCAAAAAAAATAAAAAACCATTTTTCATGATAGCACAACGTTTCTTTTTCCATTCCTATGTTGCCTTATCAAAAAAAATAAAAAACCATTTTTCATGAAGGTAAAATGGACACGCAAATTCGAACTATTTTCGCGCTCCGAAACCTTACAAAATATTTATTTTTATTTTTATTCTGCGCAGCGCGTAACTCAAGCCGAACTCCGGACCTAAGATTTATCTCTTGACCCTGGTCACGAACCTACTGGTGTTTTATATACAGAAGAAAGATAATTTTTACAGTCCCAAAAGCATTTGGGTGAGAACTTATAAAAACACTTTTACTTTTTCTAAAATTTGCGGGAAGGTTTATGGTTTGTTCATGATACTATACTTAGAGCGTTGCTCTTCAAGTGAGAACCCTAACCCTTTCATGAGAGACAAATAAAGACAGGAAAATCTCTAACACAAATACTCTCTCTCTTGCAAAGTGATCAGGTTGCTTGTTTTTGTTTTCAGAAGAAGCGGTAGGGAACCAGGGCACAAAGGGTTTCAGTCAGTAGTTACGATCAACTCTTGATCTTTGACTTTCTTCTGCATTTGCTCTGTTCCTTATTTTTAGGAATTTTTTAGAGCGGTTTCTCGTCTTTATATCCATTTCAGAAACGAGGTTTCAGTCATTAGGTACCATCAACTCTTGATCTTTGTTTTGTTGTCATTTTTTCAGAGCAGTGGGTTCTTAAAATTGATGTTTTGGGTTTTATTTTTCATAGAATTTAGTTTGTGAATTTAGGTATGTAGGATCTATATGGTTTGAGCTTTCCCTTTGATATGTTGAAAAATCCATGTTCTTAAAATCACATGGTTTTGTATTTTCATTTGAAGTTAACGTGGCATCTGTTACTCAGGTATTGTTTTACTCTGCGGCTTTGCCTCTTGTTCGGGAAGCTAAATGGCTGCATGTAAAGGAACTTCCCTGGCTCTAACCTGGCAGGTATGTTTTCCTTTCCTTATAAATTTGCAGAGGTTAAGTTTTCTCTTCAATTCTGTAAGTTTTTGCTCGAATATAGATTATTATTATTAACAATTTTAACCTTTAATATATGGGAGAAGAAAGTACAACCGACTGAGAAACATAGGCTATCCACAAGGCGGAAGGTCCATGTAAACGAAAACCCCTTTAAAGGAAAGGTGGTGAAAAACACAGAGAATCAAAAAGCCATCTTCTTAAGACTTACATCGATGTAGAATCAAAGCAATGGCCAAAAAAGAAGCCGATCCAAAATATAGATTATTATTTTTTATTCATATAGAACCAAGAACATAGATTCTGTTGTCTCATGTAGACCACTTCAAAAAATTCTTATTTTTCTTTGTTTTCTTTTTCTTTTTCTTTTTGACTCCAGTCCTTCATGGCACTTTTAAAGTTGAGTTTCCTACCTACTAAGGGAAAATGTTAGGTTCTGCATATCCATTGTTATGTAAGCTTATGGGCTAAAAGTTATGGGACTTGGGCCTTTTAGCTGGAGAGAAAATTCCATACAAATAAGAAAATCTCTTGCCTTTTTTGCTGCATGGATACTCTTTTATGCATTAGTCTAATACTTCTTTGGTTTTGCGTTTAAATCTTTTTGATAATGATGCTTGATGTCTGAATTTCTTTGCCATGATATTTTGTGTGCATCTTTGGCATTAAAGTTTTAAATATTTTTGCTTTCATGTGACTTTTTTTTTTGGGGGCATTAGTATTGTGGTAATGATTATAGGTTGTTATGTTACTTTTTACCCCCCTTCCCTTTCCTATCTTCCATGTCTTTGTTTTTGTGGTTGAAAGACTAGCTTGTCCTTGTCAGTAAAAAGTCATTTTCTCTAATGCTTTCATCTAATTCAATGGCACTGTGTTTGTTAGATCCATTTTCTTTTAATGCGGGCTACCTAAACTTTTATGTGTTTCATATGTTGCAGCAAAACAGGACATTCTGGCCTTTTGCTAGAGGTTCTAGCAAGCAAAGGCGCTATATAGTCTATCAAAGAGACCTCAATCTTCCTTCACTGGGCTTTCTTAGTCAAAGAATTGGATCACAAATTATAGGGTCACGAAAAACCGGGGCTATGCTGTCGGAAAGTAAACAAGGGCTTATACGTGAAGAAAACATGGCTATGAAAAATTCAGGCGAAGTAATACATTTTTATCGTCTACCTTATCTTAGAGAGAGTGCAGCTGAAGAGTTTCTCCAAAGAGTCCAGATGAAGGTCTCAAATCAAATTGTTGGTTTGGAGACTGAGCAATGCTTCAATGTGGGGTTAAGCTCTCCCCTATCAGATGACAAGCTTGACATTCTCAAGTGGCTTCTTCAAGAGACTTATGAGCCTGAAAATTTGAAAAATGAGAGTTTTCTTGGTGGAAATAGAGAAGGGACATCCACTGTGTTGATTGAAGTAGGGCCTCGTCTTTCTTTCACAACTGCTTGGTCTGCGAATGCTGTCTCTGTTTGTAAATCGTGTTCTTTGACTGAAGTGAATAGGATTGAGAGGTCAAGAAGGTACTTGCTTTATCTCAAAGAAGGCAGTGTTCTATTACCTGAAAGCCAAATTCAAGATTTTCTTGCAATGGTGCATGATAAGATGACTGAATGTGTATATTCCACCAAACTGACATCATTTAAGACAGCTATGGTGCCTGATTCTGTCACTCAAGTGCCAGTTATTGAGAAAGGAAGGGCAGCACTAGAAGAGATAAACAAGAAGATGGGGCTTGCGTTCGATGAGTATGACCTTCAGTATTACTTAGGGCTTTTTAAGGATGATCTCAAGAGAAACCCAACCATTGTGGAGCTCTTTGATATTGCACAGTCTAACAGTGAGCATAGCAGGCACTGGTTTTTCAATGGGCAGTTAGTTATTGATGGGCAACGTATGAGCCAAACCCTTTTTCAGATTGTGAAGAGCCCATTGAAGGCAAATCCAAGCAATTCAGTTATTGGTTTCAAGGACAATTCCAGCGCAATCAAGGGATTCTCAGTGAACCCACTGCTTCCTATTTCATCTGGTGTTATCTCTCAGTTGAGTTTATCTGATCGCACATTTGATATTCTATTTACAGCTGAGACGCACAATTTTCCCTGTGCGGTGGCTCCATACCCTGGTGCTGAAACTGGAGCAGGGGGTCGAATTCGTGACACCCATGCAACAGGAAGAGGCTCCTTTGTTGTTGCCTCCACTGCTGGTTATTGTGTTGGAAACCTTCGAATGGAAGGTTCTTATGCCCCATGGGAGGATCCATCCTTCATATACCCTTCAAACTTGGCTTCCCCTCTTCAGATTTTGATTGATGCAAGCAATGGGGCTTCAGATTATGGCAACAAGTTCGGGGAGCCTCTCATCCAAGGTTATACGAGAACTTTTGGTATGAGGTTACCTAGCGGTGAAAGGCGAGAGTGGCTTAAGCCTATAATGTTTAGTGGGGGAATTGGACAAATAGACCATGAACTTATATCTAAGGGAGAGCCAGAGATTGGTATGTTGGTTGTGAAAATTGGGGGCCCAGCTTATCGTATTGGAATGGGTGGTGGAGCTGCCTCTAGTATGGTCAGTGGACAAAATGATGCAGAGCTCGACTTCAATGCAGTTCAGCGTGGAGATGCAGAAATGGCACAGAAGTTATATCGTGTTGTTCGTGCTTGCATTGAAATGGGTGAGAAGAACCCCATTGTGAGCATCCATGATCAAGGGGCTGGAGGCAATTGCAATGTTGTGAAAGAAATAATTTTCCCAAAGGGGGCTGAAATCGATATTCGATCCATTGTGGTTGGGGATGAGACAATGTCGGTTTTGGAGATATGGGGTGCTGAATACCAAGAACAAGATGCTTTGCTTGTGAAGCCTGAGAGCAAGGATTTGTTGCTTTCGATATGTGTGAGAGAGAAGGTCTCTATGGCTGTTATAGGGTCCATCAGCGGTGATGGTAGGGTTGTATTGATGGACAGTCGAGCTATTAAAGAGTGCCAATCTAAGGGGCTTCCTCCTCCTCCCCCTGCTGTGGACTTAGACCTCGAAAAGGTCCTCGGAGACATGCCCCAAAAGACCTTTGAATTCAAGCGAGCATTCAATGCAAGAGAGCCTCTCGATATAGCCCCTGGCATTACATTGTTGGACTGTTTGAAAAGAGTTCTTAGACTTCCTTCAGTTTGTTCAAAGCGATTCCTGACCACCAAGGTTGATAGATGTGTGACTGGTCTTGTGGTTCAACAGCAAACTGTCGGGCCTTTGCAACTTCCTCTTGCCGATGTTGCAGTGATTGCTCAAACTTATGCAGGTCTCACTGGTGGTGCTTGTGCTATAGGAGAGCAACCAATAAAAGGGTTATTGAACCCAAAAGCAATGGCTAGGCTAGCCATGGGGGAAGCCTTGACAAATCTTGTTTGGGCTAAAGTAACTTCTCTTGGTGATGTAAAGGCTAGTGGGAACTGGATGTATGCTGCTAAGCTTGACGGTGAAGGAGCAGCCATGTATGATGCAGCTATGGCTCTCTCAGAGTCAATGATTGAGTTGGGTATAGCCATTGATGGGGGAAAAGACAGCCTTTCAATGGCCGCACAGGCATCTGGTGAGACTGTTAAGGCCCCTGGAAATCTTGTTATTAGTGTTTATGTGACTTGCCCTGATATAACCAAAACTGTGACCCCGGATTTGAAACTCGGGGACGATGGTTTATTGCTTCATATCGATTTGGCGGAAGGGAGAAGAAGGTTGGGTGGGTCTGCCCTTGCCCAAACCTTTGATCAGATAGGTGATGAATGCCCTGATCTTGAAGACATTTCCCATCTCAAGAGAACTTTTGAGACTGTTCAGTCACTAATCGAAGAGGGCTTGATCTCAGCTGGTCATGACATTACTGATGGGGGCCTAATTGTGTGCCTTCTTGAGATGGCATTTGCAGGTAATTGTGGGTTACATGTCGAGCTTGACACAAGGGATGGAGACCATTTTCGAGCTCTCTTCGCGGAAGAATTGGGTCTTGTTCTCGAGGTCAGCAAAGCAAATGTCGGTCTGGTTATGGAGAAACTCGATGCTTCAGGTGTGTCAGCTCAGCTCATTGGACATGTTACCTCCTCGCCATTGATAGAGCTACTGGTTGATGGGGTGCCCCAATTGAAGGAAAAGACCTCATTTTTAAGGGACTTTTGGGAAGATACAAGTTTTGAGCTTGAGATGTTCCAAAGTTTGGCTTCTTGTGTGCAATCAGAGCGGGATTTACTCAAGAGTAGGCATGCACCCACTTGGGGATTACCATTCACTCCAAGATTCACTGAAGAAAAGCTTATGAAAATGGGTTCAAAGCCAAAAGTTGCCATTATTCGTGAAGAAGGGAGTAATGGGGATAGAGAGATGTCCGCCGCCTTTTATGCAGCTGGTTTTGAGCCATGGGATGTGGCTATGACTGACTTGCTTAATGATCGGGTTTCTCTCAAAGATTATCGTGGTTTAGCCTTTGTGGGTGGGTTCAGCTATGCTGATGTTTTGGATTCAGCAAAGGGTTGGTCAGCTTCAATTCGATTCAATTCTTCTCTCTTAAGTCAGTTTCAAGAGTTTTATGATAGGCCAGATACTTTCAGTCTTGGTGTATGCAATGGGTGCCAACTCATGGCTCTGTTGGGTTGGGTCCCAGGACCCCAAGTGGGTTCAAGTGGCCTTGAGCCATGTGGTGATGTGACCCAACCAAGGTTCATACACAACGAGTCGGGTCGGTTTGAGTGTCGATTTGCTAGTGTTACAATCCATGATTCCCCCTCCGTTATGCTCCAGGGCATGCAAGGGAGCACGCTTGGAGTATGGTCGGCACATGGAGAGGGGAGAGCCTTCTTTCCAAGTGATGGGGTTTTAGAGAGAGTTTTGGGTTCAGGGCTAGCACCTGTTAGATATTGTGATGATGATGGTAAAGTAACTGAGGTGTATCCTCATAATCCCAATGGGTCACCATTAGGGATCGCTGCTCTGTGTTCACCAGATGGGAGGCATCTAGCTATGATGCCGCATCCCGAGCGTTGCTTCCTCATGTGGCAGTTCCCGTGGTACCCAAAAGATTGGGGGTTTGATAGGAAGGGACCCAGCCCTTGGTTGAGGATGTTTCAGAATGCGCGAGAATGGTGTGATTCTTCTTAGTTCAGGTTTTCAATTTATCATGTGACATGGTGTCACAGGTAATCTCTCTCTCTCTCTCTCTCTCTCTCTCTC